TCCATCTTCATATGTTGTCGGCTGAACTTCACTTGTGTCGTGTACTAATTCTGTTCCCTCATTTAAAAAACAAATGCTAGCAAACACCTAAACAGTATTCAGAAGATCTGAATAAAAGATGGCAAATATAAGCTAAGAAAAGATAAGATAATCATTCATTTGGTCTAACAGACTGGACATTTGAAAAGTACAGCAGCAGATAAAAACAATCCAAAAAAAGCATTAATCCTATGATACAGAAGTGGCTGGTTAACTACAGAATGTTTACAGCATTGACAACACCATGTTGAACAGAAAACAGGATATACACAATATATTGCACAGTGATCAAGCTAACGAGGGGAGTGGACTTCTGGGAGCAGAGGTGTTTGTGCAGTCTGACAGCTGAAGGAAAGAAAGCCCTGTGATGCCTCTTCCTCACACACCTCGGGTGAAGCAGTCTATCACTGAAGGTGCTCTCCAGTGTTGTCCAAGTGTCCTGCAGGGCGGTGGGAGTCATTCCTCAACGTGGATGACAGCTCAGCCATCAACCTCCTTTTTCCCGCCACCACCACTGGGTCAAGGGGGCAACCCAGGGCAAAGCTAGTCTTCCTGATGATTTCATCCACTCTCTTCCTGTCCGCAGCTGATAGGCCGCTACCCCAGCAGACCACTGCGTGGAAACACTCATAGAAGTTCCTCGGGAGTGCCCCTGCTCTTTAGAAAACCTTAGTCTGAACTTCCGATACAGTCTGATCTGAGCTTTCCTGTAAAGTGCAGTGGGGTTATGAGTCCAGTCCAGTTTGTTGTTGAGATCCCAGGTACTTATAAGATGTGACCATCTCAGTGTCCATTCTCTGGATGTTCACTGGTATTGCATCTCTTTAAACATTTTAAAGATACATACAGCTTTTCCATATATTCTGCCATCCAAACCAGCATGTTAGGATATTTTTTTAATGCTCACATTTGTTTCCTGGTTTCCATCTTGTCTGAAGTCTGTAAGTTTCAAAACCAGTGAACTCAATTTGCCCAACACGGCTGCAGCAGACTCACCTGGATGCTCACCGGACGTCTTCTTTACCCTCTGTAGTCCAACTCTTTCTACTTGTAGCAGATCTTCAGATTTTTATTCCATGATCCTTTTTACAGATGCCCACTTTTTACAGCTAATCTGCAGCTCCATATCAAGCAAAGCCTGGCTTACTCTATTCTATATCAGAACACCAAACTAGATTTGAACTGTATCATAAAAGGAATTCTGACCTGCCCACAGTTCATATCGGTCACACAACATTTGACGTTACAGACAAAATGTTGAGCGTTTGCAGTTCTATGAATGAATGGGAAAGCAATGGTAAGGACGTGTTTACCATTTCCATTACCATACACATGCCCTCCCTCGTAGTCTTTTAGATGTGTTATTGGCATCGTAATCAAGTATTTTATTTGCTGTTCAAGGTATTTCAGATTCTTCAAAGTCACAGAGTTGCTTTCCTTTGCCATTTTGCATGAACATCAATTAGATCGTAACTAACCTCAGACAGGTCTTATGGATAAATACTAATAGTGTTTTCGTAGTGTGTGTATGAAAAAGCAAAGTGTCCATCCAGACTCTTAATAATCCATGTCATGACAGAGAAAATGACTGGAGAAGCCGCGGCACCATGAAACATCCTGCCCGAGAGCCAAGATGTCTATCTTTATGATACCTCTCCACCTGACTGTGGCCCTCTGACGTAGCAGATGTGTGTAGCCGTGGAGCTGGCTTATTAATTCAACAGAGTGGATTTCTGCAGCTCTCTGCACACACATCCAGTCCAAGGGAGAGAAAGGGGGGAAACTGAGCTGAGGAGAGAGAAAACACAGAGGAGAAAAAGGAGAAAATGATGGAGGAAGGGTGTTATGGAGGAGGGTCTTCTGGGGGTGGGGAGAGAGAGTTACAGCAAAGGGAGGATAGGAAAGAGAGCGTGTAGAGAGGGGGCGGAGGAAATGTAGAGAGAGAAAGAGAGAGGCAGAGAGCTGCTACTGCTGCTGCTGCTGCTGCTGCAGCCGTTTGACAATTCCCCACCCATAGAGAGCACGGAAGAAGGGAAGAATCCGGAGCAAGGAAGAATAAGGAGTAAGCGACACCTCAGTGAAAATGCCCCTGTGGTAGCCAGCACACTCGGTAAATAGAAATCTTTCTGCTTTTTCTCTCTTCCCGGCTGCTGCCTCTTTGTGCATCATTAGCTGGAGTGTGTTTGATGTAGCTCTGTTGAGTCCTATATATAGTGCACAGGGTTAGCATAGCCAAGCAGCTGGGGAAAACCTGTCTGTGCAGTTGCTGCAGGACGAGACAGATGTGCACAGTGAGGTGGAAAGGAGAGGAGGATTTGTACATTATGTCTCTTCTGGGACTAAACAAGGAGAAAGCAACATCCAGCTTTGCTGTGTCTTGACTGAAGCAGAGCCACCTGTTCGTGGATGCGTGAGTGTGTGCGGTGTGTGTGTTTGTGTGCGTAGAGGGATGAGGGGTGGGGTTATAGTGTATCTGTCTAATGGTTCGTTTATTTCTTTGTAAGGTACATGTGTGAGTGTGTGCGCATGGATTTCTCATGGAGTGTGGGTTAGTGCCGTCTTTTCATTAGTGTCAAATGGGGAGGGATGGTCTTTATATTTTCAGAACCTTCAGACAAATGATCACATGATCACTTAGGGAGCAGAAGCTGAATGTGTGGTGCTTTGTCAAACAAATTGATTTACTGTGTGTCTGTGTGTGTGCTTTGACATTATTGGCTTTGGTAACCAGAGAATTTTCCTGGTAACTGACTGCTGAGGGGGTTGCCAGGTGTTAGCGATAAATATTAACCCAGGCCAAATGGAGAAATCCTCTCAGCCGGTGTCTTTCACCGTAGGATGTGGAATGCACATGGCTCTCCAGGTACACCGAAGGCAACCAAGTATGTTACACTGCATTGAAAAAAGTCCTCGCTCTGACGGCTGTAATGATCAGATTTGGTGAAAACAGAGAGGTGTTAAGTCAATTGTGTTGCATTATGGGTAACCGTGGTTTCTGATGCTGGATTGCACTGCCTGATGCTGAGAGGTTTTTCAGCTGTAAGTGCAGCAGCATTTCCTTTTTTTCTCCTTAGATTTTTGCCTCGCTAAAATTGAAAACTAAACCGCCCATAGAACATGTTCCCCTCTGATTGTGTTAATTTGGGGCTTTAAAGTAGTCATTTCATGCACATCATAGAAATGTCAGTTCTCACCACACAATGATTTTAAAGTCTGTCTTGGTTATATACCAGTTGTGGTCAATATGTTTCTTCAAGGTATGCATTTGCAATGCATATATACCATTATATATATACATTTTGTGTCCCAGAGCCACAACAGGAACAGCAAAAAAGAAAAAGAAGAAGAAAACATGTTCAACATGTGATAACAAATTGCTCCTCTTACACCATTCTTCATATCTTTTTCTATTTTTTTTCATCCTTGTGTATCCCACTGGTTGACAGTGCCAACTGGATCTCAGATTGATGCCAGGGGGGGCAAGTAGGAGAGAGTAAGAAGAGAGGCGATATAGAAAATGAAATATGTTTTCAGTCTCATGGCTGATTGTCTCTCCTGTGATTAACACCGAGTCTGGCAGCCAAAAGACACAGAACATGCAGGCACAGCGATCATCCCCGTGACAAGTTTGGAATGGTGATGTGGTAGTGTGTGCACCAACACTGACACACGGCAAAAGTTGCTATTACACACTGTGTACTTAAAGTGCACATGTTTCAGTAAACAGTTGGGTATCATGGGTTCTGATTTTGTGAAAGATTTGTTCTTCCTTGAGACAAATAAGTCAACATTATTTTTTTCCATGGAATCCCTTCTCATTCAGCCTGCAAGTTGCAGTGTTCAATGTATTTAATGCAGCTTTTATTTCCTGGACTTGTTTGGAGACTTACATTCACTCAGTTCAAAGGGCATCAGATATGTGGTATTCAATATTGTGTAGCTACTTTTTATCATCCTGACTCATACCTGAAGAAGAACTGTTTCTATAGCAACCCCATCAACCCTCCCCTCACCCCCTTCGCTGTTGTATTGTGTGTAGAGTGGGATCACATGGCTTAATACTGGTGATTGTTGAATTTATTGGTTACAAACACGTCAGTAGCATTGCCATTTAGCTAGTGGCGAGAGCAGGGAGAGTAACGTATCGGAACATTTCCTCCTCATGTTTCTTGGCGGCTTTTCAAGATACAAAAAAGTTATGTTAAAGGAGAGAGACTTAGCTCTGCAGAAGGAGGGTGTGGTAGAGAGGGATTGAGAAGAGGAACAGAAGGAATATCAGCTGAAAAGGCATGCTTGATTGAAGTCTAATTCCAGATACGTTTTAAAAGAAGTTGACAAATTATGTCATATTGTAAGAATATTTGCTACTTTTTAAATAGTGTGTGTATGCAGATGGCTGCACAGCACAAATTGACACACACTACATATGAACTCATCAAGTCAGGATTGGTTTATCCAATTATTAAATCAATACAATTGTTTAATGTTGTCTTTAATGTCTTTTTGATTTCTAAAGCATTTAATTGAATTCAGATAAGATTACTATAGACCCTGACGCAAGTAAAAAAAAAGATTTTCTCTTATATTTCACGTTTTCATAGCGGCTTATAAAATGCTCTTTCAGAACTTAATTATGCTTTTGCAGTACTTCATGATCTCAGCATGACGGTGCCAGGCTACCCGAGCCTTTTGGTAAAAGAGCATGGCATCCTGGTAGTAGCCTGTTAATTCCACTTCGCTGACTGCTGCCAGCGCCTCCAGTAATTGTTTGTTTTAGATCCCAAACCCAATGTTCCCCTACTTCTCATCATCTTTAACCCTTGCTTCTCTCTTGATTATCGTTTCCTCTCTTGTTCAGTCCTCTCTATTAAACAAAAAAGATGACTTAATTGCCTTCCCTGACCATGCCTCTGTCATTGGATGCATGTACCTACACTTAACCCTTCTCTTCTCTCATCTAGTCCCTGGTGTTTTGTGTCTGGGATGGCTTGAATGATTGGGACAGGAGCATGCAGTGGACTGAACACCAAGGACAAGTTCATGAAGTGAGTGGAAGGAGGGAGATAGAAGTACACAATGTCAGAAAGGCAGGCCTGTTTAGATACAGATGACATGACAGGACCTGTACTCTTGTAACTGTCACCCATCTCTCTCTGCTACTGAGTCTTGCTCTGTTGAGACCCCTGACTTGCTCCTGCTCACGGTGCTGTGTTAGACAAGGCTCTATGAAATGCTGAAATGTTTGAGTGATGGACCTGAGGCATCGTCAGCATTTTCGAATGGATCCTGTAGTATCTGCACTAGAATTACAGTCATAACAACAACTTTTGCACACACATGCACACACACACTGTCAAGCAGATGTTCTATATGACCTGACTCCCATCTATGTCCGGCTCTGTGTATCTTATTTGTTGCTTTCTTTAAATATTCAATTGAATGATTTTCTTTCTCCTTTTTTGTTTCTCTGATCCCACATTTGAACCAACTGTTTCAGTTCTAAATGGTTTCTTCTAAGGTCGCATGTGATATCATCAATGTGTTTAACAGTGGAAATTTACTCGTGCATCACAATTCAAAACAATGATAAATTACTTTGCAAAACATTTAAACAACGGTATGAGGTATCGTTTTTGAAAATATAGGGTAAATGTATCTCAGAACATTCTTTTCCTTTGTTTTGCATTAAGTCATTTGGACATTCAATAAATGATTGTGTTCAAACAAGAGGGACTTTCTGTTAATGCAGCATATGGGCACAGTAGCTCAGACATCTAGTCAATAGCTCAACTGTGTAGCGCATGATGTGTAGAAACTACAATATTACAATAGTCTCTGAGCTCCTCAGGCAGTGGAAGGAGGCCAGCACTAGCGTAACATTTTCCCTGTACTCTGTCTTTGTTTGGTCTGCAGTATTTCCAAGCACCTGTTAAAATTAGTTTAATATTGTTTAGCTTTCTATATAGTTCTATATATTATGTGTGGACGTGTGTGTGTGTGTTCCTCGTGTACTGTACATCTAACTGTGCAATGAGGTCAGACATGAATGATTTAGCACTTGTGCAGGATGTTTAGCTTCAGATCGGGATCATGTGAGTGTGTATCTGTGGATGTTGTTGGTTTATATATTTAAAAAAAAAAAGGCACTGGCAGCACATGCATGCCTCTGCAGAAGTCCTTGTTGCCCCATTTCCATGTATCTTTTGCATGACTTGGGTAAGTTCATAAAATTGTGTGCGCTTTAGTGTTTTGTGTGCTGGCTTGTCCATGTGTGTTTGTTCATGAGGGTCCATCCAAGCACATGCAGTCCTGAACCGGCTCTTGGGCTCCTCATTAGCATTATGCTGATCTTCCATAGAACTTTCCCAGCCCCCTGATATCCTTGGTTTAGCTGGAGGGCACAGTGGGTCCTCCTTGCATTAAATCTGTTTTGACATCAGTGTGACTTGGAGCTTTGCTGCCCATGTCAGTGGGACCTAATTTCATTTTCACTCTATGCTCTAACATTTTGCACGTACAAGCACACATTAACTACAGCATGCACACTATTATGCCATCATATCTACCAACGTCCATGGCTATTCTTAAGGGACGCATTTATTTGCCCTGCAGGGCATGGCATGCTAAGTCATGCTCATGCTAACTTTACATGTGTTCTATGTAAAGTTAGCATGAGCTTTCCCTTTCTCCCCACTATGATGTGCAGTGAAAGATTTAGTTTTTAATTTTCAGAGTTTAAACATTTACTGCTATTATTTTTCCTTTGTATTACTTTTGCATGATAATAACTCTGTTACTTTGGCCAATTTGTTTAAAATAATTTTGAAAGTTTTCAAAACATCAAGTTACATTTTGTTTTTAAGAATGATAAAGATTTCAGAGGTATTGTGGTGGGTGCAATGCTAAAAAGAGAAAATCTGCAGAGAAAAATGTAGTATAGCCTAAGCCCCCCCCCCAAGGTGGTTATAAACCTGTTCTGAAGGGAGGAAATTGATTTAATCAAAGACTATGCAACTTATAAGCAACAGGCACAGTTAAAGAAACATAGCTAGAGCAAAATAGTGAACAGAGCGGCACCAAAACATTGAAGTGATTGATCATGCGCTCCATGTTGAGAAGCTGAGCTCTCCTGATGGCAGCTCGGGCCTCTTCCTGGCTCTCTTGTCTTTTCTCTTTGGAAACAAACAAAGGAAGAAAAAATCTGTGTTGTCTCCTGCTCTGTCAGTCAAGCTGCCGAGGTCACGTGGTCCCACAAAGAAAACAGGATGTGGAGAGGCAATCGCACTGGGGGAAAGTTTAAGGCCTTGGGCTTCTCTTTATGTAATCACAGCTTTTTGTCCTAGCACCCTTAATTTTTTCAAAAGAAAACAATGAGCAATATAATTATCTGCTTTTTTCTGCACACAGACAAATATATATGCTGCTCGAATTAATTTTGGAAGATTTTATGAGTGCATTTTTCCTACCGCTGGCCTGATGTGTTTTTATCTCCTCTTTTCGTCTGTGACTGCGTAGGCAGGGTTTCTATTCAAGCTCCAATTCATCCACATTATTCAATCTAAAGAAGTGAGTCACATTTCACACAGCTGTTCATGTATTCATCGACAACAAGGGCTTACCTTGTAGCGTAAGCGTGCCGTAGAACCTGTGGTTTGAATTGATCTGCGGCCGGTGCGGTTGTTATCTGTAATAGTACTTGCTACATTCAAACTTTCGTGGATTTTGAACGTTCGAGTGAAAGACCTGGAAAACTGCAGAGCAGACGAGCTTAAGGCTAATGTATGCCCGATGATGTTACGCAACTCTCGGCAGCTCGCATGTGTTCACGCATGCACAATAAAGCAAACACACGCGCACACTTTTCCATTCACGCTTCATTGTATTGGCATCAACCAATGCCATCTGCGTCGACTTAACCCATTGTAGAAACTACCTCTGGGGTCTTATGACTGTGACATGTATGTATGTCTGTGTTCACGTGTGAACTCAATCGCACACATAGCCTGAAATCTAAACTAGATGAACTGTTCATTTCTGCTTTATGAATGAGGCACCTGTGGAGACACATTAAGAGCATGGGCTGGAGGATCGTCAGCAGATAATGCTTTGACACAACAAGGGGAATATTTTAATAGGACGTTATGAATAATCCATTGAAGACACGTCAACAGTTTACATCAATGGTATTTCAGAGATTAGAAGAATTGTGATTAAGATTGAAGCACATGTATGAACAGCCAGTACCCCCACCCCCCCAGTCTGGTGTCATGGCTGTGTTGTAAACCAAGTGTAATGCACGGCATTAACAGTATTATACATGACTGACCTCAAAATGCTCCTGAGAGTCAGTACAGTCTGCCAATGAAGCTAATATTTGGCTGAAGATCAAGTGGGCTGGAAGTCACATACTCCTGTAAAAAGACAGACTCTTAAACCCTTCAGAGGACAAACACTGTAAAATATAGCATCTTGTATTCGACAGTGACCTCACTAATGATACGATGCAATAAATCAACTTAAATTATTACTATGTTTTCCACAAAAATACCAAAGTGGGGATAAGCAGCATCTATTTGCAACCCTGTTAAAGTTGCTACAAATCTCTACAGAATGTCTTCTTTTCATCTTACTGGTTGTCTTATTTATGTTTAAGGTTACATCCCTCTCCTACAGTCAGTAATATGTTTTCTTTTCCCCGTCTAATGTCCTGTAGACACATCTGTGCAAATAATGGGATCTATGCTACACCACATTATTACATCTGAGTCATGGGGACAGAGAGTAGACATGAAATAATATGACTTTTATGAAAATAAACCGCTTGCTTTTTTTATAACTACTGTACTCCATTTAGGGTATCTGTCAGCATTTTATTGTATGCTTTTCCAAATAATATTTTTCAGAAGTGATGCATACTTACATAATCCTTGGAAAACATGATCCAGCCTTTTTAAGAACTCTACGTTTCAGTGTATAAGTATTCAGAATTTTAAAAACACATGCATTTTCTAATACAACCAATTAATTAATTCCTCATTGCCGTGACAGAGTGATTACTAAAGGCTGCACACACATTCACTGAACTGGATTTAGGTCCAATAATTAAAATTTCCAAATGAACTGCCACAGAAAAGGACCTGAAATGGAAGCTTTCTGATTGTAGGCCTAATAGCTTTCTGAAAAGCGTGTTGTTTTGAGAAATATAGTTTATGGCTTGTAAGTTGCTTTGGAGGAAAATTAAAGGACTAAATGTTAATAGAAATGCATTATTTTTGAGAGACAGTCGCTACTCTCGTTAGGACTGAGAGTTAGATGCTGCTGTCATGCAGAGTGGCAAAAATCAATCCACCACACCTCTCCTAGTGAAGAGACTCCGGTCAGTAAATGTCAGTATTAAACACTTTTGTCTTCACTGTTCTTACTTTTGGTGCTTTGAGAACATCCACAAGGTTTTTATCATTGCCTATCAGAATAGAATCCACATAAAAACAATAAATATCTTATAATCCTTTTAACAGATGACTAAATGATGTTTACATTCATGATTCATCTGTGCTGGTGGATTTTTTTGTTTATATAGTATGAATGAAATATAATTGAAATTGGATCCAATCTGGAATTTTTCATGGATGAGGAGCTGTCCATGGTCCTGATTCTGCATTCATAGAGAGGGCTGAGTCAGGTTTTCTATGGGCAGGTTATAATGTTAATACCCTGAACTGTAATCATATGCGGAGAACAATCCCAGACTGGCACAAATTCAGGTGTTTAGCAATGTTGTCTGCACACCCACCACAATCGTAAAGTGACCAAAGTCTCTCTACTATAACATTCAGCGATGGAACAGGAACAGAGATGAATCTGTTTGTATCGCAATTTTATAACAAGAATGAAATGATCTGATGCAGCAGGGTAAATTTCTCATTTGATGCTCAGTTTGAGTTTGAGTCAGGGTAGAATATAAATAGTCTGATTGATACTGTTTTTGTACAGTCCTAATGAAATTTGTGCCTGAAGTAGTTTGATGACATGGTTCATGTCTGTTTGTGATTTTGCTGCCACTCGCACAGCTGTTTTTCGTTTCTTCCCACCCATGGTTAACTGGAACAAAATGTTTCCTACGTTGCATCTAATTAATGACAATCCTCCAGGGGAAATAGTGGCAATCCCCTGCCCACAACAAGCTCATTTGGAGTCATCAGCAGCCACCCTATAAATCTCCATACATTTGTAAAAGGATTTTCAAAGGATTTCATCTTTTTAATCAGTTTTTCATTATGACACTATGAGCTGCTTGCATTTTCTGTCAAATATTGTACTGTTATATTACAAATGATCACATAATCCACAACCTCAACATGTGAATAAAGGAAACTGAGGAATGTTGTACTTCCAATTAAATTCCATCAGTTCCTCTTATGTTCGCTACTGAAATATCATGGTTTAAATGAATTAACATGTCCATAAATAGAAACAGGAAAAAAAACATAAAAACGATATTCATGCTATATATATAGATTTATGTATATGATGTTTCTACCAGTCACTGGGATTCTAACCTGAAGCTAAAAAGTTTTGAATAACTACATCTTTAAAGTTTAAAGTTCTCTTCATGTAAATAAATGGTAATTTTGCTGCCCCTATGTTTGGATATATGCCATACACCTATACACTTTATTGTGCAAATTCAGTTAAAATGAAATGTAAAAGAAGATTCTTCAAGCTGCTTATGCATTGATGTTTACTGCCAGACTCATTGCATTTAGCAATGTCATTATTTGTGGTACGGATTGAATGCTTTCAGTGAACATAACTGTATTAACATTATCCCAAAATTTTATATCAGAATATTATCTTGGTCAGAAAATTACAAAAATAATTCCAGAAAAGAGTAAATCCTGCCCATGTCCACCCTGTGTGCTGGGTCACACAATTTGATTGTGTATAAACTACAAACTATTTGAAATATTTTGCAAGCTGGATGAACTACAGTATTATGTGTGTGTACCAATGCTACCACAGTGATGTTTACAGTTGGCTCATTGAGATATTAGGATGTGAAATAAGACAAAACTCCACCATCTGTAGACCCTCAAAGCTTGCTGAGAGGTTGTCTACAGTGGGCAAAGCTAGGCTAACAGCTTAATTATTGGGTTTTGCGAGAGAATGATAATCATAGAGGTGATGAAAGGGAAAGTGTGTGTGAGTATGTGTAAAGAAATAGATTGGGAGTGAAGAGGATGGAAGCCAGAGGTTGTCAGAGTGAATTAGGCATTAGTGGTCTTGAGGTCTCTCCTTCTAGCACTCTCTGTGCACGCAAATATTGATTCACAACCATGCAAAGATTCACACATGGACTCTCTTTGAAGTTTCTGCTATGCTGTTCTTTTTCCTGAGAAACAGCCAAATTAACTTTCACTTTATAATCTCAAACCAGCATTCTTTGTCGATTTTTTTTTTGCATATTGAAGGCCTAAACTGGCACAGAAATGTGGGTGTCCCATGGCTTCGCAGTATAACAGAGTGTTTACAAGATGTTACAGAGTGTTAAGTGGAGCTGTGAACGTGTGATTTGCTGGAAGAGAGAGGAAGTGGAGAGACAGACATCATTCCTGCAGCACATAAAAAAGAAGACTTCGATACTGCCACCACTAAACTTTATCTTACCTTAACATGATGGCAGGTCGAGCATCACAAAGCTCAGATTTTCACTGATACTACGGGCTCTTTTTGGCAATGCTGTCTGCTTTCTTTTTTTTATCACATCTATCTTCTCAGTGATCTCCACATCTTTTACACCCCTCTCTTATAAGATGCCAACTGTAAGGCAGTGTCTTGGCTTGCTAGTGCAGAGGATGACTGCAGCTGACAGTTGATTAGTTACAGGCCTGAGCAGGAACAAGATAATATCCGGCTGCTGCTAACTGGGTGCGGCTGAGTCGTTGTGGAGTGGTGAAAGGCTTACACAACCGAGCAGCAGGTGACTCGCTCGCTAATGTCCATTTCTTCAAGCCCTTGTCTCTTCTCCATCTTGGCTTGATTGTGTCTTTCTTCGACATCCATGGCTGCCTCTCTGCTTGCACACAGAGAGAGATAAGTGAGTCTGGCTGGCCCCTCACTCTGTCTGTCCCCCCCCCCCCCCCCCCCTCCCCTCTGCCAGGGATTATTGAGTTCTTTGAATACAGTGGTAAATTTGATCATAAGCTTCTTAGCGCCACAATATTTTCTTGTGCAAAGGTTGACAGCTAAGTGTTATGAAGTATTTCCTTTTTACCTGACTATGTAATAACCTGGTTCAGATGAGCATAATGTATAATGTATGTTAAGTGTGTTGTAAGTCCAGCCCCTCTATGATGAAGGAGAACAAACCTGGGCTTATTTGCTTTCAACTTTTTCAGAAATGTAAGTTTAGTGACAAACTTAGTGAGACTCTTTTTTTTGGGTTGACTTTATTGTACATGATAACCATGACAGATAGATACACTATCTTTAGAATATGCTCATTGTCCAGACTAAACAAAAAGGATCTGTTAATGTTCTGTTTATTTGAGTTTATTGAAAAATAAAATAATTCTAAAATTTGAATCCATGCTGGTTTTTCCAGATATCATATCAGGAACATAAAAGCCATCATTGGCTCCTGTCGTGTTGCTTTCTGTTTAAAGCTGATTAGAGAAAAGGCCTGCGTGTTATTTTAAATGACATCCCCACATTTCAACATTTGGATGAGAACGACAATCAATGGGACGAATTTCTATTAGGTGCCAGGATGTGGTCAGTCACAGAAAAAAATCCCTCTGAAATGCACAGAACTGAGGGAGAAGCAGAGCTTTGCCCTAGTTTGAGTGTGGCATAATTATGTAATGCTTGAGTACCTGCATCACTGAAGGCATGACATGTTCTGGCTGTGAGTGTGGACGACGGGGAAAGCAGGCAGGAATTGCACGCCTTGTTCAATCCTTTTTTTATGTGGTCTGCAGTTTCATCTATTCTCCAGTCTGAGAGGTTTCACGAGCACATTGCGCCCGTGTGCTAATTTACCATTCAGCTGATACTCTGTCACTTGTGTTGCATCTCCTACTCCTCTTTTTCTTTCTATTTTCCCCAAAAACCTCTTCTCACTTCCTGTTGCTTTTTTAGCCACTCAGGTTTTCTTCCTCGACTCCCCCACTCCCACCTATCTCTTTTCCGATCTTCTTCTTTGCGTTCTCTTCTTCGGCTCTCCTCCTCCACTGCCAGTGCCACATACCAAATGGAGGGTGACAGTATGCAGCTGTGGGTTTTGTCCTCCAGACAGCATCTTAGAGAAAAGCTTATCCCCCCCACCCCACCCTAACACACACACACACACACACACACACACACACACACACACACACGCACATACCCTCACACACAGGCAGACAGAGTAAGGGATAGGCACTAACCTGAGTCTTTCATCTGTCTCTTACGTAATAGCCTTAAGATGGAGCCGCGCTGTGTGGCTTGCATACATTATGCAGTCAGAAATAATGTCGCTGTCTGAGAAAGACGTATCATAACATGACAAGACAATAAACTCCTTCTTTTCCACCTCTCTTCTCTTCAGAAAGCGAAGCTCCATGCTGCCTTGCAGGAGAAAAACCGTCTGAACCTTCAGCTGATCGGCCGCCACCTGAAAGCATCAAAGTATGACCAGGTAAGGCATTCGCACGGTGGGATGACCACACCCTCACACGCATATTAAGAATGAGGATCAGTGGATGACCAGATGATGGTCAGTGGTAAAATCGATCCTGCTTTGAGGAGGAAGTGATTCGGCGGTACTTATCACATACACAAAATCTTAGATATTTCCCAGTGATATGCAGAAACCTGATTCATATCCATCCATCAATCATATGTGTCAGTGTTACTTCCATCAGCTTACACACTATGGGATGTAGTCCCTCTTAACCTGCTTCATGTTTGCTTGTTGCGCAAAAAGAATACACACGGTACTGATGTCCCATCCTCCAGCCTCTACACAAAACTCATTAATTCCCCGTGTCATCCTCTTTTGTCCGTCTCTGCCGGGTCTTTAGGTTTCACTCATGCACATGAGAACACACACCCACCCCGAAGGAGAGCGTCTGTGATTGTAGGCGATTAGCTGCCCTGGCACTAATAGCGACTTTCACAGAGGGGGCAGATTTGACACATGTCCAGTTGCTCTGTTCAGCGCTCCTGCTCTAAAAACGATACCATCTGTGCCCCGACAAGGTGGGCACAGAGATGAAAAGAAAGTGGGACCGAGTGCTTGCTCCGTCCTGCCAGATATACAGTAGGAATGAGTGCGGCTGGCTTGTAAAAGGCGAACGCACAGCCAGGATGTACTGGACGGTGCATAGACAGCAAATGAATAATGAAAGAGGCTGGAGAGCGACAGACACCGAGAGCGCGAAACGAAGAACCGAGGCAGTGGTGATATCATCAGAGAAAGTAATTAGACTAAATAAATTGCACTTGCTTTGAAGGATCCTTGGAAGCGTTAAAGAAGATTAACCAATACAGCTGGATGTTTCTGAGCAGCATTTAAAGAAAAACAGAAGTTTCATCATGTAAGATGTATTACTGCCTACTGGCAATAATACATGATTATATTCACAACAATGTTCTCAGCAGTGTGGAACTGCTTAAAAAGAAGGTTCATTGTGATGTCGGTACCTGATGACAAGTTTATGGTAAAGTGGCCATGGGTCTTTTCTGTGCATCCCCATTTACATGTAACTTCTGTTGCCTAAAAAGGACTTCGTTAAAGAGTGGCAGCTAGGCTGGAGAAGACATTTATATTAAGTTCAAAGCTGATTTCAGAGAATTAGGATAAATTCATTTTTCTGCTTATTTGACAAGTTGTCACTATATCTGGCTCATTGGACCTTTAAGAGTTAAACAATACATTTTTCTCTCTTTTCTTTCTTACACTGATCAGTTTTGATGCAGTGTACCTGTAATTGTGTTCAAAGCAATGGAAATTTGTGATAATCTCTGAGTTTTAGGGCAAATGTATCAGATATGCCAGATATATTACCCTGGCGACGTCTTAAATAATCAAACGAAAATGTTCATCATCTGGCCCCTGCTTTCAATTTCTAATTATTTACATATTTAATCTTTCCTGAACATTTGTATATATAGTACCTGCTAATTAAATAAACGGCAACAAGTTGTCTATAACTAAAAATAATATCCAATAATAACTCAAAATTAATTGTCGTATGCCCCATTTTTGTTCACGCTTCCATCGCCTGCTGTTATTGAAGAATGGTGCATGGTTGCGGGATGGTCAAGTCCAATCTCGTGTGACCACCTTTAGGGCGACTGGCTCAAGGATTCTGACTGATGTGAAAAGAGAATAGCAGAATGCTCCAGTCAGCAACTCTGTCTCATCAAGGCTAAATGGAAATGTGCTGATTAATTTCTCCTCAGATTGTGAACTCTAAATCAACCCTCCAGCTAACAAGGGAAAAAGAAGCCTCAATTCATAAATGTGAAAAGAAGGTCTGTTGCAAAAGCAAACCTCATAAAAGATGCATGCCTGTTTTTCATGAAAAACAAAACAAAGCATGCAAAAAGTAAAACAGAACGATGGCTACATTTTAAAACTCTCCAAATAAAATAAAGATATAAAATATTCTCATTTCACTGAGTTTTTCTTATTTTTTCTTATTTTTTTGGTCATCACTGAAAGCTTGCAGGCTTCTATGTTCACGCTGTTAAAAATCCACATGCTTCTCTTATTACTCCTTGCACTTCATCTGTGACTCATGTCTCTGCAGGTGCAATCTGACTATGACCAGCTGAGACAAACCTTCACTGTCGTGAGCCGGGAGCGAGACGCGGCCCAGCAGCAGAGGACCCAGCTTCAGGCCAAAGTGGATAACCTGGAACAGGTTCTAAAGGTGAGATATCACATTTTCCCCCTGAATACGGATATCGCTGTGTTCTGGACCTGGTGGACCGGACCGGTTTAAAGTTAGAGCCAAGTAGAAACCATGAATTTCTGTTTGAAATAAAAAACAAACGATTTAACAAACGACAGTGGACAAGAGGCAGGGCACACCCTGGACAGAGTGACTGTCCATCACAGGGCCCCATAGAGACAAAAAAACACACACTCACAATTAATCCTAGTGGCAATTTAGAGTGTTTAATTAACCTAACGTGCGTGTTTTTGGATGGTGGGGGGTAGCTGGCATACCTGGAGGGAGCCAGTTATTGTATTTTGAGAAAATGTTACCCTTTATTTGGCTGGCTGTTTTGGAAATAATCCATCTTCCATGTGTTTGTTGTTGAATAAATTTAAGAAGTTACATCTGAAGTGAAGAATCATTCGTCTCAAAGAAAAGCCCTTTTTTCATTGTGTCCCAGTCTGCCAATAGCAATCAGACACAGTCTCAATGTGCTGTGAGAGGCACTCTCATTACAAATCCTCACCTCCCTGCATCTCCTATTGATTGACTGTTTGTCAGGATATTCTAGAGAGAAATGTACCCATATGAGAACTGACCTGCTCCCTGATGCAGCAATGAAAGGTTTGTCACTTTCTCGTTGAACATTGATTATGAAGACAAAGAGACTGTTAAGAGAAAATTACATGGGATAATGTGGGTGGAGAAAGGATGGTACAAACATAACAATGTAAAAAAACTCAAGAGACAATAGATTCAAATTAAAATCTGTCAAAATGAATAAAAGCAGCTCCATTAGTGGTGTTTTTAAAGGTACAGTAAATGGTGTCTGCAGGTCTTTCTGTCAGTCATAAGTGTGGATTAAGTTTAAATTAGAATGGCATTTCCCCCTTTTTCTTAACACTAGTCTATTCTAACTAAAACCAAATCTCTTTTCCTGAATCTGATTAAAACTAAGTACATACAGTGCTTACAGGTAATTGCATACTAATCAACTTTGCAAATATTATTGTCTTAGCAAGCTTTTAATCTACATTCAGTACTGTGTGACTCCTAAATGCAGTTCAGTTAAAGAAATGACTACACATTGTGAAATAGTGTCTCTGCTTAATTTGTAGGGGTGTCGATTGTGTTTTCCTACGATACATGATGAGTTTACTCTCTTCCTCAAGTAGAAACCATCCCAAGTAAGACGATGTTGGCAATAGATCCAATTTCATCTGTCATAATGAGTTTAGAAATTTTAATTTAACAGTTTCATATGATCTTGATTTGGCATTAATTAGTCCCACTCCTACAGCAACTGCTTTCCTGCTATATTAACAAAGCCACCACTTACTTCTTGGTGTCTGTCACTGGTCTTAAACTGCCTAAAGTAAACATCAGGTAACAGGACTTGTAAAACCTGCCATATTTATTAAATTTAAATGTTTTTTTCTTTGAAAACAGTTATCATATGTAGGCTCTTAAAAATGCAATTCAATTATTTCTTATTTCTATCTTCACTCACTTGGTTCATACTTATGACTATAATAAATCTCTGATGCCAGCTTTAGTCTCATCTCTCATAACCTCTCCTTGCTTGAGAGTGACCATTCCAAGTAACTCTTCTCTACTCATGCCTCTGTTGAGGGTGAGGTAAGTGGCACGGAAGGTGGGCTGAATGAACAAGCTTGCCTCAGGGACAGTAGATGGCAGTTGAATCAAATTAAACAAATTAAATCAAGCTTATGTAATCACGCTATTTAGGCTGAAACATGCCATCCATTAGTATTTTTGTCAAAACGATGTTGGTGAGACCACTGGGGTCACACCTCAATACACAAGGCTTAAAAAAGTCGTTCTGGCTAAGGCTCTGGTGACAGCCTTTCAGCCACTCCAGACTTCAACAGCTTAGAGCTTCTCTGATTATGCAAAGTGCTAGCTGTCTGCTCAGGACACCTTGAAGTCACTCTGGGAGGCAAAGAAGCTCGCCTCTTTTTCAAGGAAGACGGAACATGGTACAAAAAAAGCCAAACGCCTGAGCTTTATAAGCAGTCTTTTCTTCTTAAACATGTGGAAACATCTTATGGCCTTTACTCAGTCTGCAAGATGTGACAGCTGGATGTGACTTTGCATAGAGATGCTATGTAGTCCTGACTCCACCAATTTTGCGAAGGGGAGATTTTGGGATCGGCGTGGGTGACAATGCGTGGCAGCTTTATCGCAGTCAGATAAGAACATGGAGTCCTGGAAGTGATAGGGACCTTACATGAGCAGGGAGAAGGAAAATTGCCTTAATTACTGATCTTAGTGGGAATATTTTGACGCTGTCAAAAGGAAGGCAGCTGCTTCCCTCTGCTCCCAGTTTTTTAAGGTTTAACTGAGTGGCTGCTTGAGTTAGCATGTATTCAGTCTAAGGATAGCTTACATCAACAATCACATCTCATTCTAGGAACCCATTCAGTTCAATAGCTTTATTTAATCTGTGAGGCTTAGCTGATACTTGGCTTTAAATAGTGGGGTTTATCATATTCAAGCGGATGCACCAGATTTTTTGCTTTGGCAATATTTCAGACATATTAATTCCTACTATCATTAGAATGCAAAGTTCCTAGCAGCAATTTGAGCAGACCGGATTCTTTTCCCTAAACCACTGAAGTTGGTGGCCTACATCCCTCCTTTCTTGTGCCAGTAATACAAAAAGCTGTATTTTCATGACTGTTGAGGCTTCTTAAATCAGGCTGTATGGTCACCATTCATGCAAAGGTTAAATTCGTACTAGAATTACCCAATAATTTTCTCAGAAATGATCTTTAAATGAGACACTGCACCTTACTTTTTCCCCAGCATATGCATGAAGCTGTAAAGCTGAAGCAGCAGTTGCAGACAGAGCATGAGCAAGCCTTGGTGGCCCTTCATACCAAGCAGAAGGAGATCAATCAACTGCAAAAGGTAGGCCCAAAAGTATAAAAGCAGAAATTTACATGCATCATTGGAAACTTTATTTTCCCCACTGGCACAGATCCTGTGTTGGTTATTGATTGTGAGCAGTGACTCAATGCCCCTGCGGCTTGTTCAGTTCCTGAAGTGTAAGCTGCCAGTTAATGCTGATTCACTGTCACAGCATCCCCACTTCTGTCACACAAACGCAAAGCCTCAACAAAAAGCCCAGAAATTTGTCAGATTTTTATCAGAAATGCAGCTTTAGTGTCCACGTCTTTGATCATGTGAAGAGGTGGACTATCAGTGAATATCTCTAACTGTGCAGAGGTGACATTTTACCTGATATTTTCATGCTTCTACTTTGCCACTGTTGCTTTGGCCACCATTGTGACTCCCTATATCCTTTTATCTACAATCTGAAATATCTGGATCAGACTCAGAACCTTTCAGATGACATAATGTAATATATAAACAACCCACAAAAGGCTTGTTTAATATGTGAAACGTGTATCCTTTGGAATAACTGCTACTTCAACACTAAAATACCATAAAATAGGCCAGTTACTTTTCATTGAAGCTGAGCTGTGATGAACCAATAAGCTTCGCCCATGTTACTGTGTTGACATTATGTCAGCTTGGTGCTGTCTATTTGAGCTCAGGAACAGTCACCACAGTGTCAGCTGTCACTTTGTGTTTCTGTGTGTTCCCTGCAGGAGTGGTTTCAAATTGGCCAAGAACACGATGAAGCCGTACATCTGTTAGAGGTACAGCGACATGAATCAACAAAGATACTCACTAAGACACCCACTATATCTTTACATCACTAAAATTAGGTTGTACAAATGCATTATTAACTGGGTTTCTCCAGAATGAGAATGAGAATTAGAACAGAGAATAGCAGAGTTAGGGGCAATGTCTTAGATCTGACACTGTCCAGTCAGCATGATCTGCAGTCCTGCATGGAATGCTCCAAGCTACATTATAAAATCAGCATTCACAAACCTTTTTATTTTTCCATCAACAAATATATGTTAACGTGAAAATATTCACTTGTTACACTTGAGAAGTGCCGTCAGGTTTGCAGATAACTGACACAAATTAATGCATTGAAACCAAAGTATTGCCGAAATGCAGCAGGATTTATCCTCAGGGGATCATTCATGTCACCGAATATTTGAATAAAAATCCATTTAGGGAGCTGAACATTTGTAATCAGGCCTAAAGTTGTGCATTAACCAACTCTATCTTCCCTGGAACCATGCCACAAGCAGGTTTAAAGCAGTAGCTCCTTATTATTAGCTCCATCAGCCAGACTGCAGTACTAACACCCACACTAGTATCGGAGGTGAACGCGCCTGTGCTGGAGCTGAAGTTGGGCTGAGCCACACTGAGAATCGCCTCCGAGTAAAAGTCACTCTAATACACCAGTGCCCCCTTTGATTGCTGCAATCAAGGCAAAAAGAGATGTAGAAAAAGGCCTTGCCCGAAGGATATTTGAAGTGATATTTCTAATCTTTTAGCAAAACAGCAGCTTTTGCTAAAAGTCTCTGTCCGAAAAGAAATGTAAGCACAACCCCAGCAGCATATTCCAGACAGCTTAGTCAGTCATCAATGCTGCATACTTACATTGTTGTGTTCTGATGGACAAACTAAAGGCATTAGCTGTCATGCGCCGAACCGTTTTTCGGCGCTGACAGGTGATCTAATTACACCTGTCTCAATGTGCCGGCAAAGCACACACTCAAAGGTAGCGGAGGAAATTTCTCTCACCGTTCACCAGCAACATCCACTTCCCCCCTCCAAATCGTTCAGTGGTGTCTAAAACTGCTGATGGTGGCAGCCGGTTCTGAGTTGGATTTTGTTGCAGGGATTTTGGCAGTTAAGGCTGATGCCTCTGTTCTTCAATATAGATGGGAAACTGCTCGGTGTACACAAGTAAAACATTTCCTCGTGACGGTTCCAGCACCAGTGCTGCCTAACAGGCATCATAATGGATATCCTGACACTTAACCAAAGATTTGGCAGCTATGTCACACAATACCTAACACACTCCAAAGAGTCCTTTATCCAGTCCACACAGAAACAATTTAACAGCATAAAATATACATTCTTAAGAAAATTATTCTATTGTGCAGTAAAGTGACTGGTGTGGTGGGAATTATGGCTTGAGGTGTATTCCATGTCCTTAATAGAACCACTTAAGAATGAAAGTAGTAATCTGTAGTTTTTTTTTCAAAATCACCACTTGGTAAGGCAAAACTCCCCCTTCCTCCAATCAAATAGTTGACCTATGGTGTTGCATCACAGCCTTTTAAGATGTGTGTCACCGCTTCATCTACTTGAAATTATTTCCTAATTTTATCCCAAATCCCTTTTGTGACAATGGGCCTCAGACTCCTTTGAGTGCAAGTCAAGTAGGGCCATGTTATTATCTATCCAAAGCACTTTAAAGCGATTTTACTTAGCAAACAGACTGTTTGGCTCAAACAGTTGGTCAGAGACATTAAAACTCCTCGTTCAGGGAGTTAGTTCTCCTCTTACAGCAGGAATAGCCTGAATCAGTTTCTTTCATGGGCCTGTCTCTCCTCACAAACAAAGAAAATCTCACATTTAAGAGTGTGCAAGCTGACAAACAGACAATTTTCTGTTCTGTTTGGTTCATTATTAGCTACATAGGACTCATTACTTAAAAAAAACATGAGTTTTATTTGAATGCACTAGTTTTGACTACTTTGACAGAAAATACATTTTTGTCAATCATTTCTTTTCCCATCTTTTACATATACCTTTTTTTTTGTTCTAGTGTTACAAAGTTTTATTGTTCTTCTTTACGTTCTTTCTTTTTTGTTTTTGTCCAAACACAGATGCTCCAGATTTTCATTTTCCACCCTCATTATTTATTTATTCATTTATTTATGGTTATTCTTCTTCACAAACAGCATTTTTTTCAAGATCGGATTACCTCTTCACAGTCTTCAAGCTTAATTTTCTAAATGAATCCATGTTAATGATTGTGAGACAGTAGGAGCTTAAACATGCATCTCAGAACTCTACAAAAAAAAAAATCTGTTGTAAGTTAATCAGTGTTTCCTTCCATTTCCCTCCTCTCCTTCATCACCACCCTTTCTGCTTTTTCTCATATTTGTCAAAGGTCAAAGTTTCTGACCTGGAGCACAAATGCAGATCTCACAGTGAACACTTCCACCAGCTTTCGAAAGAGCTGCTGAATTTTCGCTTGCAATCACAGCCGGTGAAGAGCCTCGACAATAGTCCAGCGTCCACGTCCTGGACCTCGTCTTCTGCAGTGAAGAGACTTTCACAAGTAGTTTTTGGATTTGAAACCCAGCCAAACAGAGGTATGACAGGGTCCCACTTTTAGTGTTTGTTGACTATTGTTTTAGATTATTGAAGGTTATCATGCATTTCCAATTGGCTGTTTTAAATGAGCAGAATAGTTTTACTTTATTCAACAGACCAAAGTAAGAATGAAATAATTTGCGTCTTTAATAAAAAGTTTTACTGTACATGCAATAATGTACAAAATGATTACCAGAAGCACATTAAAACATTTGTGATGGAGCCACAAATGTTTCTAGAATATACAAGTGACATTCATCTAAAATTAAACAGCTGATTAATTGTTTATAGGAGAGGCCTTAATTAAAGGCTTAATGTAGCCCTTCACTTTTTGCCATCTGAAACAAAAATGAAAATCTCTGTACAAAATTGCAAATAAATACTAAATTTAAGCATCTAAATCTGTCATTGCAATATAGATGTAAAGAAACTGAGAATGATCCAATGCACAATGTCTATGGCCAGAAACCACCACCTGATGGCTGTAATTATTGATAATCGAGGCTCATTTCCACCACATGACAGCCACACAGGCTCGGGAGCACCATGGAAAATAATTGCCGCTTTACATAGTCCATAGATGCACCCAGCAACGCAGAGAAGTAAGGCCCCACATATCAACAAGCTGTACATAAAAGGCTGCCATGCTGTCAGTTAATCTGTGATGAATAGAAAAGTAGACACATATTTGCATCGTCTGATTAATCAAAACTTCAGCTCCATTTGGAATAAAGGACATCTGGTTCTATGTGTCAAAGATGAGAAAGCCATTACCTGTAAAACCTGCAAAAGCCTGCATCTGTGATGGTACGGTGTTGCATCAGTGCATATGTTGCGGGTGACTAAAGTAAGTGTGATAGTGTCATTGATGCAGAGGCGTATTTTGGAATTTCTTAAAGATATATTAGCAAGCAAAGCAATGCCGAATTGAATTCTAAATTTCTTTTAAGAGCATGGTTTCATGGGCACAGAGTCAGAACGATTAATTTGCTGGCTCGCTGTCAAGATACTGTATGTTTCCATTTAAAACATGCTGTAAGTCACACCATGACTGACCATAGACTGCTGTGCAGCTTAAATGTTGTACTTATCACGAGTGGACACAGTTTTCTCTCTGCTAAGAATGAAACGTCAATTCTTAAAAGATATCATTTCTGAAAGACACTACCAATTTGTGATCGGCATCTAACCTGATAACTGATCACAGTCCTAATGCAGTCAACAAATTAGTATTCCAATGGTTCATTGTGCAACTTGCAGGGTCTGCAGATATGCGCGTATTACTGATGTAGATATATACAGTCAAGGATGGACCAAAGCACTGGAAATCCACATTTTTCTCCTCACTTGTAACAGGAGGTATTGAAGCTTTTGTGATAACGCATGGCATTCCTTGAAAGTAACATGAACCCAGTGATGCAGCAGATCCATGTTGTTGACTTGTTTTAAATTTTTCAGGAGTTTCTAAAACCTTATATATCTTATTTGTATTCCTTTCACTCTTCATGCATACACCCACTATCTGCGGTATCCAAAGGCATACATTTACTGGAGATGAGAATGAAGTAGTCTTTGACAGGGAGTGTGCTGACTTTAGCAGATTTCAAACAGATTATGCTTACATGTGCAATGTGTGGCAACGGAAACAGGTCCTGACACTTTTTATTTGCTATTTTTTATTCGCTTAGGTGATGAGAGTGTGGCAACTACGCCCCTTCTGATTGCACAGGTCTTGCCAACCACCCAACATACTGGAGACAGACAGCCGCCAAAACTTCTGTCTGCCAAATCGAGCACCGTGAGAGCGGACCGCCCCACCAGCCCTCAGCAGCCTTCCCCATCAGAAGTGTGTCTGAGTCACACCATAGCAGTACATACCATCACATCCATGTTTACTGCATGTATACATTCTCGTGTCTTTAAGATATTTTATATCTGTGTTGCATCTCTTTATCAAACATATTAGGTCATGGTTTGCAACAGAGCACTTATTCTTTAATATTAATGAGTGGTTATTATGTATATCATCGGACACGACTCTTTATTAATCGATAGATGGAGGATGAGGCCAGCCCCTCACCCAGGTCCAAACCTCGCTACACAGGCCAGGTCCGGCTTTGCACTGCCCGTTACAGGTGATTGATACATGCAAATACTTTTTATGTTGATTTTCCTGCATCGTAAATTAAGTTAAAAGAGCTTAATTCTAATAAGTTTTTTCTTCATTAAGTTACAACCCTTATGATGGACCAAACGAGCATCCCGAAGCAGAGCTCCCCCTTGTGGCTGGAAAGTATCTGTACGTGTATGGAAACATGGATGACGATGGCTTCTATGAAGGTCAGATAGAAAAATGAAACTGTGAAGCTTTATTTGTCCTTCTTTGATGAAAACATGTCTGAGTAATGTTTGTACACTGAGCAAGGATTTCTGGACAAGGGGGGATTGTCTTCTTTGTATTGTTTGATTTAGATGAAATTGCAAGACAGAAAAGAAACAGAGAAAACATTAAGAAAATGTTACAAAGATGCTCAGGGGGCTTGCATCAGCTCATTTACATCCTTCAGTGAAGTTTATTTGGAGTTTTTCTCTCAATATTGCCGAATATCTGAGTACTATGTGTTCTATTGCACATAAAACAGAATAATTCCAGTTACTTTCATTCAAATTTCAGAATTATAATGATAATCTACACTGATATACTGTACTTCTAATTTAGAATTGCTGTGCATGTATCCTGTATGGAAATATTAACTAGGATAAGCATATAATACAAAATACAAATAAAATACATATAATACATAATACAAAACAAATCAAACCGTGGTGCAAAAGATTGACAGTGCTGATGTTCGTATTTCTTCAAAAACTGCCATGAAGACAGCTCCTGCATGGCACGGCCTACATTCATTCCCTGGCCTCATCCTTGTCAGGTCAAGGCATCAGCAGGAAAACTTTTCATAAATGCTGATTGGGGTGACTCCCTTGCTAATCTCTTTAGAATTATGAAGGCTTCTCCGTCAGTGGCAATCCTAATCCCCCTGGCTAGCAGTCGTGCAGCTAGCACATTCTGTCGTAGCCATGGTGGTACTCAGCTGCAGTGATTCATTAGCTGTGGGCGGTCAGATTGCACGGCATCGTAGAGGAGCCCTGTATTTACCACACAGGAAGGAGACACAGGCCTCAGACCAAGCTGTTGACAAGATGGGACCTCAGTCCCTTTCAGTATGATGACTAATCCAGCGGAGCTCATCTTAATCAGCACGCACAACAACACGCTCATACGTGAACAGATGCATGCACATGGTCTTAAGGTCTGTCAGACCTCTGAGGAGAAGGGGACGGAAAGACAAGATGACGTGGATGATTGTTTGAGAGAAACTTTTAACTTCTAGGTTAAAAGTTTCCGACCTCTAGGTTTTAAATAGTTTTTATAAATGAAGTTGCTGGGCTCCCTATGCCTTTACTTGTTGTTACCAACAAGAGACCAACAAGAGATGACAGATTTTAGCAATAACAGGAGGCATCACAGTTGGATCCTGCATTTTCCCATAGTTACATTTATTGAATAACTGTATGTGGTGTAGTACTTTCTGTAATCAAATACACATGAAGAAGCAGGCAAACGCTTTTTTTTGTGTGTTTTTGGGTCTGGTTGTATCACAGGGGAGCTTCTGGACGGCCAAAGAGGACTTGTTCCTTCCAACTTTGTGGAATTTGTCCAAGACAAGGAGAAACCCTGTGGGGAGGGAGGGGAGGACCTGGGGCCTCTGGACCACGCACCTCTGGCCATTATGGCAGCAGATGGCATTGCCTCCCAGGATGGCCTGCTGGGCTCAAGTAATGCCTTGGTTCCGTACAGCAACGGGACCGGCGGGCCTTTGGACCCCGAAGACTTAGCCGAAGATGTTGTGCCTTACCCCCGTAAGATTACCTTGATTAAGCAGCTGGCACGCAGCGTTATTGTGGCCTGGGAGCCTCCGGCAGTGCCTTTAGGCTGGGGGAACGTCTCTGGCTACAACGTTTTGGTGGACGGGGAACTTCGTGCCAGCTTGCCGTTCGGCGGCCGGACCAAGTGTTTGCTGGAGAAGCTGGAGCTGGACGGCTGCATTTACCGCGTGTCGGTGCAGGCCGCCACCGACCGGGGCCTGTCGGACGAGCTCCGCTGCACCTTGCTGGTGGGAGCCAACGTGGTGGTGGCGCCGTGCGGCCTGCGAGTGGACGACATCCAGCGCGACACTGCCGAGCTCTCTTGGTTGCCTAGCAACAGTAACTACGGCCACACTGTGTTCTTAGACGGAGCGGAGCACGCAGCGGTAAAGCCGGGAAGGTATAGACTACGCTTTCTCAACCTGAAGCCTCTTACGGTGTACAAAGTGTCCGTGGTGGCACAGCCCCACCAGGTACCATGGCAACTGCCCCTGGAGCAGAGAGAGAGAAAAGAAGCCGGAGTTGAGTTTTGCACTCAAGCAGCAGGTGAGAAAACTGATATTTTGTCCAAATTGCTTTTAATATTAGGTTAAAAGTGAACCATTTCTTTCACCTGTTTTGAACCAACTTGTTGTTCTGATTTGGACTTTTAAAGCTGCTGTCTATTTCAGTACATAGTAATGTCAGTACTAAAGTGAAAAATAGGGACTTTTTAAATAAGCTAGATGTGCTTTTAATAATTACTGTACCAGATTACTCACTATGCGATTGTTGTGTATTGTATTTTGTCCAGGTCCAACAGCATTTTGCAGAACAGGTCAGAATAAAACATCAGTAATAGGCTTGGTTTCCCATGTTCAAATATGAAAAAACACCCCAAAAAAGTCAATTGGCAGAAAATCCCTTATTTCCATTATACAAATTATACAGAGTTAAGGTTGTGCAAATGAGCTGGTAATAATAAATTGTTCCTTATTGTCAAAGGCATGTGAGTAAAAGGCATGTGGGTAAATTTGCATTTGATTGTAGCTCTGAGACTAAATTTACAACCTTGAATTACATACAATTTTGTTCAAATTGAAGCACTATTAATCTTTTAAACCAAATTCATTTGCAAATTTACCCAAGTTTTTCCCACAGAGCACACCCCAAATTAGAGAACAATTAAGAGTCATGAGATGTAACCAGTAATTACTATTGGAAGTCATTTTTTTTCAGTCTATAGCTCAGCCTGCTTATTGAAGAAACCAATCCTGTACTGCCTGGAGATCAAAAGTAGTTATGCATGTATTCTTTCCAGCAAATTGAAAGACAAAGAGCCACAGTAACCTTAACCCATGCACGTGTAGGACACATTATTTTCTTTCTCTTTGTGTGTTGCACAAAGAGTTGTTTAAACTTACACCAGAGGAGACATACGTGTGCAAACTTTTAATTACAGCACTGTTACACAAAGTTGCGGTGTTATCACACCAATCAGTTTAATAACGGAACATCTAATGTTACAGAAATGTTGGTGTTGTGTAATCATAACACACTGTTTTGTGAGGGTCAGGTATTCCGTGCAGAGCAGTAAAATGTGGTTGAATATTTGCATAAAACACAACTTAATTCCCCCATACTTCCTCACTCCTTTCATAATGATTAGCTATTTCAATGCATGGTTGTATTTTTACCCATTTGTGCATTTGATGAATGCATCACATCTTATTTGGTTGCATCTTAATGACATTAAATAAGGAGATCGTTAGATTTTTTTCTTACTTATGCTCCCCCAGGCCCCCCGCTGCCTCCCCATGATGTGCAGGTGCTTTGTGGGCAAGCTCCAGGGGTCCTGCAGGTCAGCTGGAAGCCTCCTCTCCTCTCTCCCACGGGGACGTCTAATGGGGCAAATGTCATTGGCTATGCAGTCTGCACTAAAGGACAGAGGGTGAGGAAGCACGTCTGCATCATAGCAATGCTGACTCTTTGCCTTTTTTATTCTGTTTTTAAAGAAGGTCTTGTGACTGATGGTGAGAAGCTCATTAGTTTAAAGGCATCACTTGTGATATAAAGGAAAAAGTAACGCGTTGAATTAAGAACCAATCTAGTCCACGTGCACTTCGTAGATACAGTATTAAGCACTGTAGATATCGTCAGAATAGTTGATGATGTTTAATCCAAACATATACATCACAGATGGGGTACTAACAGCCTTTGTCTTTGCTAATAGACTCAGTCTCAGGCTGGGACATTATGTCATCTGTATTTTCGGCGCTCACAGCAGTGCCACCTACTTGTCATTCCCGTCAAGTGCATGACTTTCATTCTCTGACCTGTAGATGTGCAAATGTCGTGGGAAGGCCTTTCACTCCCTCTGGTGCCAGCAAAAGCAAATCAACACTTCTAGAAGGTTAAACAAACAACAAACTAGAGTAGATAGTTGCTTCTGAGCTTATGGTTTTCAGTTAAAATGCATTTGGCAGGGAATTTGAACACCTATAATAAAACACTGCTTTTATTGAGACCCACATTTAATGGTTGTTAATGTTTACCTGCACGCTAAGCAGAACAGCATGATTTTCATTTTGAAAGATTAGAGTTTCTTTCTTTCCATCTGTATTATCTATATACATGTTTCTTAGAGCATTAGATCTCTGATCATCATTTTTCCTGGCGCATTGACACTGCTATATACAACTGTAATCTAAAACCACCAACTTGTGAGTCTTCTCTGGAGTGTAATATGTAGGGAATAAGAGAGTAAACAATCATTTACGGAGTGTGTAAATTATTGTTTGTGTTGTTTCTAATGAGATGAATAAAGGAACAGTCAAAAACTCATTCTATAATTTGATTGAAGAGAACATATAGATCTAGACTCTTTTGACATTAACAGTTTATTTCTCTTTTTTGAATCCAGATAGCTGAGGTGTTATTCCCTATGGCAGACTATGTGACTGTTGAACTGACGAGGATTCAATGCCTGGAGGCCAGAGAAGTCATCGTTAGGACGCTGTCAGTACAGGGAGAATCCCAGGACTCCCACGTCGCCGTCATTCCAAACAACCTGCTTGTGCCTCTACCGCCGATCCCCCTGCCCCCACCGATGCACCCTCACGCTGGTCCCCCTCCACACCCCCACGCTCCGCCCCACCTCCAGTCTCCTCACCTTCCTCACCCCACACCCCAGCTTCCCGCTCCCCCCCACGGGCAGCCGCTCCCACCCCATCCCTCGCACCCTCAAGCCCACCCGAGACTTCCCCATCCGGCGGGGTCCCCTCAGCCCCAACTCCGCCTCCCGCATCCCCAGGCCCAGCCCTTACATCTCCAACCTCATCCACCCCTCCAGGGTCCCAGGCCCCAGCACCAACTGCCTCTGCTGCCCCACCCCCAGCCCCACCCTATACCTCAGAGATCAGTAAGTGCCCGAGACCTGGATGCCAAAGAGCACACGGCCCACCACGGAGGAGCTATCCCGCCCGGCCCGCCGGGCTGGGACCCCGCACGGTCTCCTTCACAGCCTCCCGTCCCCATGCAAGTTCACACTCTGGAGGCCCCTCCCCTCGCCAACCCTCGCTCGCCCTCCCCTCAGAGGATTCTTCCTCAACCGCGCGGCACGCTCATCCCGGACACCATGGCCAAAGCCATTGCTCGAGAAGCAGCCCAGAGGGTGGCGGCGGAAAGTGGCAAGGTCAGGAAACCGCACTTTGAATGCAACTACATCATCTACATTATGTTATGTTCACATACGTAACATATGTGTAGTAAAAATGGAAAGAAACATTTTTGGATAACACACAGAATGACTATGAAGTACTTTATCTCGAGTAAACAAAGGTTTTAAGGTTTAACATGACCAATCCCTTTCAGATGACTATTTTTGCTTTTTTCACGTCATTTTAAAACATACAAATCTTAGAAAAACATTTTAAATTCAATTTAAAGAAAGTTTCCAGGACAGTAACAAAAACAGATACATCATATAATGTCCCAACAGAAATAAATCCCAGAGCTCACTTTCCTTCTTTTTGGGGGATTTTAGGGAGACAGAAGGCAGGGCAGGTATGGAGAGCAGGGTCATTCTTTTCACCAGCATCACTCCGATGACGAAGAGGAAGATGAGGAAGGCTTCGAACGAGGTCGTCGAAGAGGGCCCTCAGTCGATGAGTTTCTCAGAGGCTCTGAGCTGGGCAGGCCGGTAAGGACGGCATGATGGGTGATGAACGGCTTGCTTTGTTGTGAACACCATGGGGATCTCGAGGGGAAAAAACATCTTACCTCTGTCAGGATGTGTGTGCGTGTGCACGTCGGTGTAGTGACTTGCATGCATGCACTCCTTCACCCTTTGTGCGTTCATGTGTGTGCACATCCATGTGTGCTTTGGTTCGTTTGTTCGTTCGTTTGTAGACTTAAACAACTGCGTCTGTGTGTCTATGTTTTTGTGTCTCTGTAATGATCGAAAGCCTCACTATAGTCACAATGAAGATTATCACAGCGAAAGCAGCCGGGGCTCTGACCTGTCTGACATCATGGAAGAGGATGAGGAGGAGCTGTACTCTGAGATGCAGCTGGAAGAGGGACGGCGACGCAACTCACACAACACACCCAAGGTGCAGTTCTTTGCACTTATTCTAAGACCCAAGACTCCAACACCCGTGTTTATTGTTCTTTATTGAACTGCACAGGCACAGAAACTTAAAATGAGACTGCTGCCTCGAATTTCCTTTGATTTGTGTTGTTGGTGCGTGTGCTGAGTTACATTCGAACGGATCGAGAAAAAAATTGCAGTCCACTGGATAGAAGATGGTTTGTTCCACACAACCATCTGGGAAATCCTCTACAAAAACGGTATGGGGAAAAGCAGACACTCCCAAGACAAACGTTGCAGGTGATAACCCCACCGATTCTCCCAAGATTGCAATCTGACAAGTCTCACAAGTATCCAGCAGCATCTTAAGAGAAGAGCAAAAGGGCAGGTGTAAAGGAGTTTAGCATTCCAGGACCATGGATTGTGGCATGAAAAAAAATCAAAGAAAAAAAGAAAAAATAATAATATATGTATATATACATATATGTATTAAAATCTAGAGTTACAGACACACGGTTTCTCTGACACTGCGGTTGCAAATGAGCTCTTTCAACTTGCCGTCACTGCTTTGGCTGCCTGAAATGGCAAATGGCTTCTTCAATTTGCTGCTGTCTAACTGCATCTTTTAGTTTCCAGTAAAAAACTGAAAAAACTGAGATGGCCTGAGTTTGCCCATGGTGGAGATGACAGCAGATGACAGATGCTAAAACTGCACCTTAAGTCATGTTTGTTAATGTCTGTTCCTGATGTTTTACCTAACCTAATTCGGTTCACTCCCGCTAGCCGTAGACTAATTTAGACAGCTTAAAATTTCCCGTTGGCTTGTACGTGTTTGAATGTGAGTCTATGCGTCTATGTTTCAGTGCCTGCCTGTGAGTTCTGCATGTTTTTGTTGACATACATTTTGTTCAAGCACATGTGCTAATATATGCAAATGCCTACATTTCAGGGAGCAACTTATGTATGCTCAAAATGTGTGGATGTTCCTTTTTTTTCTGTATGTGCATTCCAGACAAACACTCCGGCCGGAGGCCGCCATGACCGGGACAGTGGGAGACGTGCTCATCATGGCGGTCCTCAGCCTCAGAGGCGACCTCTAATGGTCCCCTCCATAGGTCAGTATGGCCTGGTCATTAGAAATAAAAAAGGGGAAGATTTTTGTGTTTTTCTGTGCCATCACAATTTTATGTTTGATACAATATTAATGCCTTTTGAGCTTCTTTGTTTCTTCAAAATCACCTCTTTGTCTATGCTCCATGCTCATTACCTTTAACTACTCAAATTATGATCTTGCAGGGATTATCATATTTAAACTGTATAGAATGCAGGTTTTTTAAACACTCAACATTCGATCGGTCAACTCGGTCAATGGCGAATCGTATTTGCTGTGGTTGTCTCCATTGTTGCTCAGATATATTTAAAAGTTTTCAGGAGCTACCATATAACACAAGCCCAAATACAAATAAGTTGGGACAAAAGGTATAAATAAATACAGAATGGAACGATTTGTTGAAGATGAGACATTTCACTATTTCAATAGAAAGATCCCATATTAATGTGATAAAAACAAAACATAAAAACACATCTTAACATATTAGACAGGGGCAACAAAGGAAATGTTGGGAAAAATATGCTGATTATACCAAATCAGTATCTAGATATAGTAAGAAAAGCACCACAAACAAATTGTGCAGCAATTGCAAAATAATGATTAGAATATTGTATTTTATTGTGGGTAATACGATAAAATTATCAAACTAGTCTGGAGATGTCTGAAAATCAGTTTTAGATGTACATGATCTTTGAGCCTCCAGGAAGCAGGGCTGTTTTTGTCAAATCATTTCCTGCATAGACTCAATATATGTCTACAGACATCCACAAATACCCTATGTAGTAAGATCATTAAAGAATGTTTCTTTTTAATCAGGGTCCCTAATTATTTTTTATTCAAGAGGAGGGGAACCAGTTGGCCCACTATCAGTTCTCGGTTCAGAAGGTGTTAGAACAGAGATTTATTTGTGCCTACGGAGCTGACTGGTACCACTTTTGTCTTAAACCATAAACAATTTCCCTCTGGGATTATTAAAGTATTTCTGATTCTGATTCTGATTAAACACATTGTTTAAGATGAATTCATTTTCGATTGAACCAATGAAATATCTAACTTTCAACTTTGATGTTTTCTATGTTTCGCCCTGAATGAAATATTGGTTCATGAGATTATCAAATCACTGCATTCTGTTTATCAAGTTACAATTCAGTTGTATTTTAGTGACGGACAAATGAGCTTTGTATTGTAACCCCATCCCCCTCTAACTGGTGTTTCCCATAGAAGTAACCTCTGAGAATAACTGTGAGGGAAACCTCTCCCCCATCACCGAGGATGTTAACTATGGCAGAGTAGCTCGGCACAGGAAGTGGTCACCTCGCAGGCACATGGGCGGCATCAGGTCTCCCCATGGTATGTGCCTGCAGTGCTGTTTTTACCACCACGGCATGGCAACTAAACTGGCCACCAGCACTTGGCAAGAAAAGGCTGTGGACACCTGCACCTGCCTGTTTGTTTGTCTTAACGAATAATAGTTACTATTATGCTTACATTTGTACAGCATGACTGCATTGCACTGGAATGGTGGACACACTGGCAAGACTTTGGGTCCAGGGAATTAAGCTTCTAGAATTGCGGATGATTAATGATTGAATGACTGTTCAGTGAATTACATGCACACCATGCACTCAACCCCAGAAGCCTGCTACAGCCCTTCTTTGTGATACAACCACATCCACTCAACATAAACAATACTTTTAATGCATGAAAAATGCAAAAAATAGCAGTAGACTTAACTGAATAATGACCCTTGTCTTGCTTGTTTTTGTTCCCTCAGAGTTTTTAGATGACACTTAGAGAAACTACCTGTGAAAAAAATGTGTTTATCCCTTAGTTCTGTCCAATTACCACTTAAATACACAAATCAAAATGTGATATATACAGGCATGCTTAACACAGAGCAATGCTTTTACACCAATAGCTTGCACTTTTTAACACATCAAATGTCGGCCTAATAGTTTCACTCCTAAGTAAGCCAACTGAACACTTTTTGTTCTCAGAAGAACATATTGAGTTGTTTCAATTTCTGTTTTAGATCTTTTTTTGGGGCATGCATGTCAGAGTCTCATGTTGTGTCATGTTCATGAATCACAATTGTCTGTGCATAGCACCATGTATTGCATTTTATTTGTTTTCTTGCAATATTGCCGAAAGATCTATTGAAAAAAGACAAGAAAAAAAGATAAACTAACTTAAAGTACATGCAGTATGTTTGTGTGTTTGTGGCTGCGTGTAAATTAAGTGGGAAATGTGTTATATAGTTTTCAGATTTCTTCCTGTATGCTGACAGGCAAAAATCTGGTTAGATTAAAGGCTCGAATAAATCCTGCAACGCACGCTCAAATCAATAAGAATTATTAAGCCACAGGATCTTCTCATTGATTTCCTTGTAGGAAGGCATGGCAAAGATACATCACAATTTCTGCTCGTAATATAAGTGGTACACACACTTTGAGTAACAGGCTTGACTTTAGTTACTCAGACTTTTTGAAAGCAACTTCATCTGTGACCTCACGCTATCAGAATGAAAGACGATGTCAGACAGCGTGCTTGTTTCCAGTGTCCGGTCACGTTCATTGGCGTGTTGCTGGTCATTTAGTATTTTATTATTAGATTTTATTAGTTGTTCTTTATGTTTTTTTGTGTTCCAGATGGCCACAGGGATCGGGATCGCCGATCTCCCACGTACTATGACGAGTCAGAGCCTGAGGAGCCTTTTCGGATATTTGTGGCCCTCTTTGACTACGATCCTCTGTCAATGTCCCCCAACCCAGATGCTGCTGATGAGGAGCTCCCCTTTAAAGAGGGGCAGATCATCAGGGTGGGAGTTTAAAGCCAAGCTGCAATCAGTTCTTCTTAACATTATTTTTGGAGTTGAAAGAAACTTAATTAAAAAAAGTTTAATAAATTAGATGGGAATAAAAATCGAGTGTTTGAGATAATTAATGACAAGTACAAGTGCAATCCTAATGAAAGAGCATTAAACATAATTTTGCCTGTTGCTCATAAAAGCATGCAGAGTTATGAAAATATCCTAAGGCCTAAAATTCCCATTGAAAGCATTCTAAACATGACTGTTTTGATCTCTCATCTGCCAGATTTACGGCGACAAAGACACAGATGGGTTTTACAGAGGAGAGGTGAGAGGCAGGATGGGGCTGATCCCCTGTAACATGGTGTCAGAGATAAGAGCAGACGACGAGGAGACCATGGACGAGCTCATCAAACAGGGCTTTCTTCCACTCAGCACCCCGGTGGACAGAATAGGTACTGCACACGCCAACTTTCCCTCATTACGTTTTTCATTTCAGCACTGATAAGGTTAAAGGGAAAATATCCCGCTTAAAACCTGCTGATGCACTCAGCGGCAAACCTCTGTTTTCACCTCCAGAGCAGAACAGAAGAGGCGCCCGTCGGGATCAGGCCTCAAGGAGAATGGTGGCCCTGTATGACTACGACCCGAGAGAGAGCTCGCCTAACGTTGATGTTGAGGTAACACCACCTGAAAAGGACACATTTTTAACTCTTCATTTACTTTTATGACGCACATTACACTTGCATTTTCCCCACAATGTGGACCTTTGAAATCTACTTTTCAAAAACTGTCCAAAGTTTTCTGGGCAAGATTATAATTTTAGTTAATTGACATGATTTCCCAAATAACTAACTCAAGCAAGGCAGATACTAACGAAACTTCCTGTCTTAACTGGCTCAGAAAACATCATAATACAAGCTGGATCAAATGAGTCTTTTGTTATCCTTCTCTTTACCTGCCCCCTGATAGACTGAGCTGACATTCTGTGCCGGTGACATCATCGCTGTTTTCGGAGACATCGACGAGGATGGGTTTTATTATGTGAGTCCTTCTCATCCAGGTTTGCACATCTGCCATCAGTTATTAGACTCATTCCTGGGAGTCTGGATACGCTTTATTACTTCTAAGTGAACAATGGAGAGGTGGCATGTTTACCTTTCAGAGGTTCTGACGGATTGTTTCAACATTACAACCTTGAGGCAGATTTAGTTGCGCTTTTTTCCCCCCACTGACTCGCCGGATGTGTGTCTGAACTTAAACGGGGCAGTGATGCCCCAGTTTCAAGCATGAAGTACGCTGCAGCTTTTTCACACATGCCTACAATGTGGCATCTATATGGCATGTTTATCTGAAGTTTAGCTGTTTGTATCTGTGCTTTAGAAACTAATTTGGTGTGATAGGTTCGGAATTTTCTTTTTCTTCTGACTGATCCACTCAAGCGCCACAGCACAGTTGATTAAACATGAACTTGTGAGATGGAAAAACATAATCAAGGCGCTTTTTGCCAGTATTTTACACCAGAATAACACTGGACATAAATGAAAAGGAGATATTTGTGTATGGAGACAGAAGCATGGCACACTTCAGAAGGGGAAGCTTGGTGCACCAGTAAATATAGTGCTAGCATGTCTTGCCAACTATATTTGTTCCTCTTGTTCTGTCCTCTACTCTCCCATCTGTCCACAGGGGGAGATCAATGGTCATCGTGGTCTGGTTCCCTCTAACTTCCTGGAAGAAGTGCCTGATGATGTGGAAGTGTATCTGACGGATACCCCATCCCACTACCCCCAGGAAGAGCCTACCAACCGGCCCCCTGCCAACTCTGCCGCCAATGTAACAGAGGGAAAACGGGTACATCATCCTCGCCGCTCTCAGCGCTAGGCCCTGTGTTCATCCATCCTCTCGTCCTCTCTCTTGATTTCCGTCTCTCGCTTCCTCCACTTGCAGTCTGTGTGCTGTTCATTGTGTGTGTTTGTCTATTTGGTGACAGTGGTGACTCTATGCAGACTAACAACCTCCCCCTCAACCTTTGGAAAAGGGACAAAATCCAATGTTAACGCCTTTCTTAGACTCAGAGAAAGGAAGAAGCAAAGCCTGACATGGACAGAGAGAGGATAGACTGTGGGAGCTCTGCAGGTGGTTCTTGCATGTTGCACTGGAGGACACATAAAATGCCTCGATTCATTCCTCACACAAAACAATTTGGAATCTCTTTGCACTGAAACACAAAATCAAACTGTGGTTATTGTGTATAATTCTAATAATAAGTGCTTTATTAACACATGACAATTGCTACCCATTGAAATTGAAATGAATTATTTGACAAGAAAGGTTTTAAGTATAAAAGAAAGCAAAGCATGCCTTTTTCAAACTTGATACATTTTATAATAACTTTCTCGGCTCGACTTCTGTGTTTCCTTGAAAAGGCTTTGTTTCTTTATGTTTATTGCCCACACATCAGATCTATTTTTCAGCCCTTTTGTGACAGTGGATATGCCGTGTTTGCTCTGAGCCTGAAAGTCAAAATTAACCACAGCACTGATACATTCATTCTGTATTGTTGAGATGGAACAATAAAAGAAAACAAAAATTGGATATTAAAAACAGTCCTGTTTGTGCTGTGTGTTCATATGTGTTGGTGTTGTTGGTGGTGTTGTTTTCAGTTGTCATAGTGGTGTGGATTTTTCTCGACAGTGACAATGCTGCCACATCTGATTTTTTTTTTGTTTTTCCTCACCCGCTTGGCAAAACAAAACAAACAAACAGAAGAAGATTGTTCATTTCACACCATAATTGGCTCTGTCTGCCTTGTACAGTAAGTTGGCAACTTGAGATAGCAGACTCACAGCTCTAATGCATGCAGCTTGTGGTTCCAGGGAAAGCTTTGGATTACCACTGGGCCTTCCAGCTTACTGTAATGCCTCATTTCACAATTCAGATCATGAAAACTTTTCAGCTTGGTTTATCAAAATATTAGATTTTATATTGCCATGCTCACCATCTGTGAAATCTTCAGCCTAGCGAAATAACATTTCAGTTTATGAAATGGTCTGAAAAACCAGCTGCTGCATTAGAGGAGAAGCCTGGAATCTACAGTTGTGTCCCTGGGTGTCGTACTGTATCTGACTGTACTGTATGTTCCCCATGGCCGATTTATGGTGGACCTTCTCACCTCTGTGGTGTGCGGATGTTGTGTTTAACTTCCTTCTCCGTTCCTCCTCCTCTTTTTTTCTGACAATATTTTTGTGTTAGAGCTCTATGTTTTCTGGTGATGTAAAGCAGATCAACAAGCAGGCAGATGATAGTGATGAATACACTGATAAAAGGGCTTACATGTAAATCAGAGAAAAATATATGTACCCGTAGAATATCTAAGTTTTTCTCCTGGATATGGTCAGTCGATAACAATTGTTACAATAATTTTCACATTTTTTAATGTGAAATTCTTAAAGATTGCACTGTGCAAGAAAAACAATATACTATCATGCCCAATTGTAATCTATCTAAAGTATTTATTTGCAAAATATGGGTAAATTATTAACTTGAACCGAAAAAATAATCCAGTTCAGCAATGCCAAAAGCAATTTGGAAATGAAAAAACTCAAAGTCAAACTAAGGATGCCAGGATCAGCCGAAACCGAACTGACTGGCAATTATATTTGTAATTTATTTATTCGATTTTCACAAACATTTCCATTATATGTATTTTATTATACTGCCATAGTATTACAGAAAACTTATCAGATATTCACATTCACACCATCAAATACTGAAATATTTCTTTCTTTCTATTTGTCCCAAGTACACGTTTATTTAGAATTTGATGACACTATAGATTGTAAGTCTTCAGATATATTTTTGGAAGGATTTGGCTGCTTTTTTATCATTAACAACTGTATAATTCCAAATAACATGTATGGTTTTTAATATTATTAAAATATTTTTTAAATTCCAGGAAAATTTGTACAAAAAAAAGAAAGGTGGAGAGGAAAAGCAGATGGTTTACAAATGATGTATTATCTATATGGAAATCTGCAGCGATCACATCATGGGCTTAGCAAATTTTCCCAAAACAAATTTGATGCTATCACAACCACAAATTTAAACTAAAACACACGTAAAAATGAACAACAGCTGAGTGAGCTCCAATCTTCTTTGGACTTTGAGCTGTTTTGGTATGGAAGGAAGTAAAATGTATTTTCATCACACTCTTCACTTCAACACAAAATACAAAAAAAAAGAAAAAAACACGACAGTGTAAAACCCAATGAAAAAACTAAAAAAAAAACTGGAATGGAACAGGTGACTATAGTTGTATAAACATGGACATCTTTGAACATTATATAAATATTTCACTCAAACGTAGCCATTGATTAACCCTATAGTTACATTTTGAGAATGCAACCTCTGGAGGCCTGAGGAATTCATCATGTTCATGATTAGGACCATCCTTATAGGCACACAAAGACAAAGCAACAGTGATGTCAACCGTTTTTTTAGGCAAGGCCTTGCTTATTTCAGCAAAACATTGCCAAACAAATTAATGCTTCTAATACAACTGAATGATTCCAACATGAAATAAACTGGGTGCTGAACTTGCTTGAAGTACAGACTTGTGGCCCACATGTTATCTTATGAATTCGAACATGAAAAAGAAAGCTTGTTTTAAATATTGGCAAGACTGTGGTGAACCTGCAGCATAACAACTACATTGAAGTATATGAACTATTTTCAAAATAAACTAGGTTTCCATTTAATATGTCAAATTTCCCCACTGCCCCACTGTTATCACCCAAAAAATATCAACAGAGCTTTGAAAATCACAAATATTCCCAGTGTTTTGGTCTTAGATTGATGGGAAAACGTTCAGAATGGCAGTGCAGCTTAGTTTATGTATGAAGTAAAGAAGACAAAAAAGAGTTGCTTCACCTGTAATACACTGCCCCTTTCCCCCATGCCTTCCCATCACTTATCTCCTCAGGTTACCACAGAAACCCCTGACACTGCCAACAACATCACCACACCCGTCCGGGCGCCATCCCCAATTGTTCGCCCACTCCTCCCGGGTACCATGAGACCCCTCAGCCCTGCAAGGGGTCCCCACATCCCGCTGGACACCAGCGACCCCAGAGATCTGGCAAATAAGAAGAAGAAGGGACTACTTTCCAAGGGAAAGAAACTCCTGAAGAGACTCTCCCCTGTTAAATAAAAACAGAGGCATAAAAGTACATGCTGGGCTGTGTACATAGCACCCTCACAATCGACTCCGATCTGAAATCACGCGAGAAAGAGGAAATGGGCTTTGTCTCCTGGTGTGCCTGAGCCTACCCAGTGATAAAAATCAAATTCATTGACGGATTCAAATCACATTCATTTTGTACAGTGCTGTGCCAAAATCGAGAGCGAGGTCACCCGCAGACATAAAAACATGTTACTGTGATGTGTTTCAAATCAACGAACGATGATCTAAAAAAGACAAAAGAAAACTAGGAATTTCATGACATTTATTTCTCTCCGTTTTAACCATCAGGCAAACACACACAAAAAAAAGAATAAAAAAAACAACCTTTGAAGCAGGGTAGCTGTAAAAACTTCTCCTGGTAGTGTGTTTCCAAAAGGACTTTCTCGGCAAAAAGCTGAAATGTTTTGCTGAAACACCATGATCCGCAAAGACCACACTGTTATAACGCATTCTATGAGGCAATGCTGGCTGCTAACTAAAATTCTATTCAGTGCAATATCAGTTACAAGACGGTAGCATATGTGCAGAAAGGACACAGAAACACTTACACCTGCTGGAATTCCGAACACCAGATGTTTTTTTGCACATGAAGGGGATTTCTAAAAAGAATCAGAGATTGGCACCCGGGCATTAAACACCAGGCAAGCTCAGCTATCTCAGTGGCCTTTATAAAAACTAATATGAGCATGACATTCCTTGTCTCATGAAAAGACTGACTTACAACGGGTTTTGTTTTACGACAGGTCACCTGTGCTTTGTTTTCTTTAAGAGCAGAATTAAACCGGCTCTGTTTGTCTTTGCTGTCCAATTGTCATGAAACGCCTAGTTCCAGACAAAATTGTGTGTCTATCTTCCTATTGCACAAAGATGGGTGTTTTTGTCTGATGAGTGGTTAATGATATTGCTTGTGTGCCTGTGCGTATGCGAGGCAGTATGTGATGCATTTATATATTTGCACTTTCACATAACTTGTTCCCTTCCTTTTACTTTTTTGCTGAAGGAGAGGTCATGTTGTTATTGGTCTTGTGATCTATATTGCTGTGCTGCTACCTCCATTGCTTGTTAACTGTTTATTTTTGTTGCCTCATGTAGATTTGCTGTTAGTGGGACACACTGAAGCCACATAACAAACTCAAACTCAAACAGTGAAAGCTTGCATTGTTCTCTGCTTGTGTTACATCATGTCTGTAGAGCTGTACCAACTTGTTTAGCTTGAGTGTTGCATTGCTTACTTTCTTGTTCTACTTGTATTTTTAGCATGTAAGGACTACATGACACAAATTTAGTGTGCGGGATCACTAATATATCTCTGTTACAACTTAATCTGTCCCTGAGCTAATTTTCACTTTATTCCCACAATCTGGATTGAACAATTGATGAAAAACAGCGTAGGAAAGATCAATTTATATATATATATATACAGTATATATTATTTTTAACCAAAAACATTCAGTTTTCTTTTGGTCTTTCAACCTCAAAATGCAAAAATATAATCAGAAATATCTGTAATAATTTTTATTCTATTTTAGAAGAGACACTGAAAATACGAACGCTGTCTTTGTCTTTAATTTCATGGAGGAGGTTGTTGAATATGAAATAATGTTTTGAATGTTTTCACAGCTTATTAAAATACCAACTGCATGCAGTACCAACATTTAGCTGTTATGATGAATTCACCTGCCCAAAATATCAATACCATCGGGGGGATAATATGTCTCATAGCTTTAATCATTTGCACATTTTCTGCTTTGTTTCAGATGTTTATTTGCCGCTTAGGTAAATCTTGATTTGTTCGTTATGTAAAAGTTGCACTTGAAAGAAAATGTAATTGTGAGTTTATTGTGGGAAACAGGGTCCCCTTTTCTCATTCTATATTCTTCACTGATATAGCTGATTGCATGCACTGACAATAGAGGGTGGACAAATCTAAATGTTGATGAAATTTGTCTGGCAACAGGTTTACACTCCCTTTCTTTTCCAAAGCTGTTCGTGTATGGCTTCCCATGGATTCTCTCATATTGTTGAAATATAACTTATTCCAAAACCAAATCATTCACCTGTGGATGGGTGTAGTGTCTCCAGTCGCTGTAGCTTTTTTGTACTTTGATCCATTTTTAGATGATTTCTAAATGTTTCTACTTGATTTTATGACAGTCTTTTTTTCTGTGCACTGAGAATTCCTCTCTCTGTAAAAGACTGCAAACATTCTTCATAGTGTCCTTTGGAATAAGATGTAACAGTCCACCGTATGTGCTTGCTTTGTGAATCAAAGTTATAAAAAAAGAAAAGCAAAAGAGAAATCATTGGATGGTATTTATAATGATTATGTGTGGGTGTGCATGTAAAAAGTGTACAATTTTTCTAATCAAATTAAATTTAATATTTTTTAGAAAATTTGTGTTGAAATATTCTTTTTTTATCATGCATTTGATCTGTCTTTCGCCAAAATGTTGTCTTTTATTGAAATATGAAGTAGATGTGTTTGTCAGTTGTGAAAAACTGAGTAGTTACACCGCATATTCTCAGAAATTGTAAAAGAAGCCATGTTTGGGAACTACAAAAGTTGATACATGCCAACATCCACCATTAAAAAGCGATTTATTCCTTTTTTCAAGCTGTCTGAAAGCATGTTTTGGCTTGAATATAGATAGAAACATGTTACAGGTTGGTATAATATTTCTATAACAAATTTGTAACAAAGCCCAGTCGGAGTGATGTAAATGATTTTCCTGAGCATTGTTCATGAACGCTGAGCTGAATTAGTCGGTTGAAGAAGGGGCGGTGCTGTGTTCGGGGGTGTCGTCAGAGGCGGATAATGGATTGTCTGTGGTGGAGAGCAGTTTGTCCGGTGACCTTCTGGTACTCTCTGTCTCAAATCTCTTCAAGTTCACACCAGTGATTTATCCTTCTTTACAGTTTTAATGAGTTTATTGATCCCGCTGGCATCTCCGGCCCTGCTGCTGCTCCCTCGGCAGAGGACTTGGAACTCAGCAACACAAACCGGTTAGAGACAGACGGCGTCTTTCTGCACATATGAAATGATGAGCTCTGCCTCAGAAACAACACTTTGCCCTTCTTCTTCACTCAAGCAGCATTATGGCTGTTCTTTTAGTTCACATCCAACCAAATGCTTATACTTCTCCACAACTTATCAAACAATCACAAAGAATACAACATTACCAAACTGATTTTAATGCCGCATGACTGATTTGATGGAACCCCATTACAAATTGATATTAGAAAAGAAGGCTGTCTAATCTTTTGTATTCCTTGTAGCTATGGATGTGATTGATTGATATCCTGGCAGAGCTACGTCTCATCTTCCATTATCATCATGTCACAGATGGTGTTGTAACTATATCTTTAAAAGAGGAATAACACTGGCAACTGAGGTTCCTTTGTCATATAAATGTAAAAAATATCTATATTTTTTGTGATTTGTTCTTCAGGGATCAATATCAGACAGCATTACTGAAGGGTTCAGCAGCAAAATGCTTACATCAGTTCTCAGAATAGCAGTTTTTTCTTGCAAGAATGATTATTTTGTGAGTGCCGTTTCGTGACAATGGAAGCTTAGTAGATATAAAACTACCCTTTATGCCTAAATACCATGCCATTCATGTTTTTAGGAGGGGGCTTTGTTTATTTTTAGAATTATATATTAACGCCAAACCTTAAAAGAGGAACAAAGAAAGAAAAAAGTGGACCAAAGGTAGAAACAATACAATTGAAAGGGAACAACGTCACCAACAACGACTACATGATCCAAATTAAATAGACAGAAAACTGAACAGTAAACCTCTGAGGGAAATAGGCAAAGAACCAACATTACGAATGGAAAAAATATAAAGAGTAACAAGCAGCAATTTTGAAATACATTTTTAGAGTTTGTAATATTTCCTTAGTGTAATGTCATAGAAGGTATGATTTGGAAACCACAGTTATAACCAGATAGGTTGATTATGATTACGTGACACAGAGGCCTGTGAGTTTATTAAAACTTCTTCATTATGCAAGGGGATACAAGCCTGCTTGTTTTTCTAGTTGTTTTCTTCACATCCATTTGGATCCTTTTCTGTAGCGAATAAACTGAGAGATTTGACCGATTATTTTTGGTTTTTATTATGAGCAGAAGACTTTTCAATGGAAACAGTCTCTTTAATGGATGTGGTCGAGAGTAATCTGTCTGTTCATGGAAAATGCAGTACATTAGTACACTTATGAAAGATTTTTCCTTTTAAATCCCAAATCACATCAAGGTTGTAGGAGTTTCAGAGTACACCGTTCATGCTGTCAGCTTTTTGTTTTATTGTCATACACTGTGCCTAATGGAAGACTTGAGAGGTTTTAATCAGTTGCCCAAATTGAACAAGTAGCTGATATAAAATCCATAAATGAGGTTTAGAAAATTATTTATAATGTGTTGGTCTTATTGACTGATAATAACAAGGTGCTGGTAATATTAATGCACAGTTTCTTTTATTTCATTATGATGTCATTCAGCTCATCATAACAGCAAAAGTTGTACATAGATAAAATAGATAGCACAAATGTGTCAAAATAAAAAAAAGATGCATGTTAAAACAGGCAGGTCACAAACAAGATAATATATGGAATCAGGCATGCGTATTTTCAAAGTGTAACTTTAAATTCAATCATGCTTGGTTGGGTACTCAATGTCTTCACTTGTGTTGCATTTAAATATAAATAGTGTGGTCTTAATGTTTATTTTAGCTGTACAAAAGGGTTAGTCTTCAAAAAGAAATTACAGCAAAAGTCAAAAGCTAAAGCCTTGTCAAAGACAATCAAAAGCTTTAAAGTGCGATCTGAAATAAAACATGGCCATCTCTTGTTCCCATACATTTTTTCACATAATGGAAAAGCAAAAATACGTTTGTGTTACCATGAGTCTGATATGCATTCAAGCCAGGCTGTAGTTTTATGTCTTGTCACATGAGTAAAAAGTA